AAAGAATTTAGAGAATACATTTGTACTGAATCAGGATTCTAGCAGTAAAATACTGTAAAATGTGTAAAACGATTTTTATTATAAAAGGTGGGGCATCTTCCGTTTATATCTGAAAAATATCTTCGCATATTTTTCTTTAATAATTTGTATAATTTTCTTTTGTATATATTTCTTTAATAGTAACGTGAGTTACAGTTTTAAAAAAGGTAAACTCTTAAAATCACGTCATTCGTTTGTGCTAAATTTTTGCTTCTGAAACTCGTGTGTTACTTTACATAATACGAAGTTTTTTGAAGTGCTGCGCGTTTAATCACGTGTTATCAAAACAAAAGCAGAGCCTTCTCCAAAATCAGGATAATTAGCATGCATACTCCAGTTGACATAACCATATGGTTTTTAAATTACACCTAATATAACCGCTTCCCTGGTCATCCTGAATTAACTCGGGTATGTATATATTGCAAATATTTATTATCTCGAGTAAACCCAGGCTTTGCAGAATTTGTCAGTGAGTTTTTTTTGTTTTTGTTTATTTATTTTTCATCGCGTTTTTACTCGGCCAGAAGCAAAAAGGAAAAATAAATCTGCTGCGATTAAAAGTTAGCCAAGCTTTGTTTGGGTTGCAGTTGCGGCTCATTTACGTCGCACAAGAGCTGCACAATGGGCTATTGGCGTCGGTCTGGGAAGCATCCCTGATGATGATCCGAAGACGTGCCGTCAGTAGATTAAGTGACCGGACTAGATCTGTTCAGACAACGCCTCCTATAACTGAAAGCCTCCACATGGTTTTTTATAGGTAGTCCGATCAGACCACTGTGAAGGATATCCACTTTCCGAACGAGTCATTTAACACAAAATCCAGTTAAAATAACAAAGTGGTAGCAAATATATGACTAAAAATTTGCTTTATTTATGAATATTACTGCTTTGTCTTATTCACTTGTCAACCACTACAGATTCAATTCTCAAGTATATATGATAAATTTCTCTCAATTACTTTTATAAAAGGTTTTGGGTACATGCGCACAACTGGTTCACTTTTTAAATAGTTTGCGCGGACTACTTATAAAAGACCGTGTGGAGGCTTTTTGATGTAGGAGGTGATGGGATGGCACCCCTGCTTCGGTGGCCTGACGAGCTGCACCCAAAAATCGAGCACTTTACGGTAGAACAGTTTAACGAGGACCAATACCGCACACTCTCTGTCCCTACGAAGACTGATCCAAGTGGTCACCCGCCTGCACACTGACTCCAGCCAGTGATGCTTGACTGCTGTGATCTGCTGAGAAAGGTGTCTTAATGATTAGTCCAATGTAGGACAAGCTTTGTTTGGGAATCTTGCTGTTCGATTGTGGGACTTCACATTAGTTTTGTGCAATTATATATACGATGGTTGCTGAATTTGCATAAAAAGAGAGTGAAAAAAATGACGTGTCACTTCCATGGCGTATCACTTTATGTTGTTCTTTGCTTTAAAAACTACCATATAAAGATTAATATTTAACTTTTTTCATTAGCCTGAGATAATTCGGGATGATAAACTGATGGTAAAATAAATGTTTTTTGCGCATAAAAAAATTTAAATTTAAACTTTATAGATTAGAAGAAACATCAGTGTTTGGAGTATATATACCGGAATACCGTAAATATATACCGGACAATGGCACTTGACCTTAAAAAAACATCAGTGTAGGGTATACCGGACAAATGTATACCGGTCAGTGGCACTTAACCTTAAAAAAACATCAGTGTAGGGTATACCGGGAAAATGTATACCGAGCAGTGGCACTTAGCCTTAAAAAAACATCAGTGTAGGGTATACCGGGCAAATGTATACCGGGCAGTGGCACTTAACCTTAAAAAAACATCAGTGTAGGGTTAAAATATCGATTAAATGTAATTATATCCATGAATAAATTCATATCAAATCGAATGTAATAAATATTTCGGACATTCACCAAAGCATATCTGTGATTGTCGACATACACCGGTGAGGGTCCGAATGTTTAAGAATGTAATGAAATATTCGATCTTTCACCGACGTATTTGGTGTTTGTCGACATTCACCCGTGAAAGTCAACAACCACCGATTTCGGTCTTTCGCCGTAACATATATATTGTTCATACACATTTTAAAATAATTTTCAGGGATAAATAAATAGGCACTTTTATGACCGTTTTCTTGAAAATTAACCGATTACTAAGGGATTAAACTTCAAGTCCGATTATCTAGTACAATTCAACTTTGAATGTTTCTTTAATAATAAACATACGATCATAAGATTTCATAATAAAAAAGTACTAATAAAGTGTTACTCTTCAATCTAGATATTTCTTTAATAAATATACGTGATGGTAAATCTAAGCAAAAAAAGTATTTCACTTTGATAATTGAAGTATGTATTGGTTTTTCTCAAATTACTAATTTTAGTCTTTATATTTTTAATAGATCATTGAATACTTACCAACTTAGCAAAAATTTACTGCAGACGCAATCACTGTGAAAACAAAATTCGGAATTTAAGCTAAGAATGAAAATTTATGAAGCGTGGTCAGATATAGGCGAATGTATCAACAATCAATGGCGAAGGTATTTTTTTATGTACAAAAATCTGCAAAATCTCTTGCTTATCTTATAAGAAACGTGACGTAAATGGTAGAGATCACAATTACTAATAGATGATTTTTCGCATTTACTATTGCTTAAAGCTTGATACAAGTTCTTCCTACTTCGACAAAAAGTGAAAAATACGTGGCGATACTAAAAATTACTGATGAGTTGGTAAATTGTGAGAATATTGTTTGGTCTTGCTTCAAACAGTTCAAATTATTTGAGTGATGTTCCTTGTTTTATGGCTGATTTAAAAATAAAAAAAATCTTAGTTTTTTTTACCAGAAAAACATCGAGAATAGGCTTGTTGTCTCTGAGAAAAAATTTTTTTCTTCTAAACAAGTTTTACTTTGGTCAAGTATGATCGAGTTTGATATTATTGGATACTCTAAATATTTCACATGTGCATTAAAGAAAGTATTTTGCACGAGTGAATATTTTTCAAGATCTTTGACAGTTTTTATCCTTTTCGGACACCCTGTGTGCATTTAATATACATTTAGTATTTATTATGAAAGACTTAATATACATTTTAAGAGTCCTTGTCGAAAATTAAGCACATATTTTGACAAAGTATCAATTTTCTCTAAACAAGTTTTACTTCCTTTGAATATTTTTAATTTACTGAATGAATATTTCCAAAATATTATACTAATGAATTAAATAAAAATTTTTGTAATGTGAATGTATTTTTCAAAATGTTTGACTATGTTATAACCTGTGTACGGGAGTTTGGTATAGATCAATTTATAATATCCTTGTCGAAAATGAAGTAAGAAATTATACATATTAGAGATCATAAGTTAGTATTTAAAGGGCGAGAAAAAGCTCATTTGAAATCTGTCAAATCACTAGTGAGGAAGGTGGGATGAAAAACCAAGAAGTAGGATTGATTTTCAGAAATATTTGTGCAAATAGATTATTTTTTCTCTTGAATAAGTTGTGTCTTATTTTTACCTACAAAGACAAATTATATCAATTTAATAACTCGCAGTCTGCAGATCTATATTAACCTATATTAATCTATATAGTCCTATATTAGACCCCTTAAAATTTGTATAGCATTCTTCAACGAAAAATTTGAACCACATAATTTTTTAATGAAATATTTTTATTTTTATTTTTTTCTGAACACAGAGATACCAACTTGCTTTAGACAGTGGATAAATATTTTCGAGTGGTAGTTTCTTAATGTATTATCTTAATGATTCTTGGTTTACTGATTTCGGTTCACAGGGATTTTACTCACCACTATTTCTTAATAATTCAAGCTTTAATAAAATAGCAAAATTACAGAGATGCCAACTGCTCAGGACACGCCAAAATAATTTAAAAAACGTTAAAGAGTTACAAACTAAATTTTGCAAATACTTGACTAATTTTGCCTGCTTCTTAAAAAGTTTAGAGTGACATAAGTTTAAAGAGTTGTGAATTATATAAACCTACGAATAATTTAGAAATAGTGGTAGATAAAAATCTAATAATTTGAATTTATTTAACCAGGAATTACAATTAACAAGCTACCACTTAAAAATATTTATTCGCTGTCCGGAGCAAGTTGGCATCTCTGAAATTAACAAAAAAGCTGAAAATATTAATTTGTAGTTCTCTACCGTTTTTTCAAATATTTTTTTCGAATCCGGAGCAGTTGGCAACTTTGTTAACAGGGTGTTCTGTTATGACCACCCTTTCAATGTATTTTTGAAATTCGTGTCAAAAATTAATTAAAAAAAAGTAAACACATTTTAGCTCTGAAGTTAATATTGAAACAAAAAATCAACACAAACGCTATTGAAGTCTGAGAAATGCTAGTTAGCAAGGTAGGATCAAAAACATTAAAGCCAGTTTGACTACCTGATGAAATTTAAAGATATTTCTTTAAAGTGTCTTCAAACTCTTCTCTTTTCTCGGGAAATTAAACAAATTTTGAATTCTTATGTCCCGTATTCCTCAGTAGTGATATGTTTGATCTATATTGTATTTTGGTTTCATTTTTGACTTAAAAGTTTGTATGTCTAAATTACACATTTTTGCCGCAATTTATGACAAAGACTATTAAATATGATAACTACGAAAAACTAGGTAAGTTACAATTTATAAACTATACATTGTTACGACACTCTTCGTAATTAGAACATGCGTCCCTCTTCTCCACTCTCCTCTCTGTTCTCTCTTTTTTCCTACGGCAGTATGCTTTAGTAATGAGTTGAACTGTACTTGTGTGGAGAAGAAGTTAAATTTGCTGATACTGTGGTAATAGAGAGGGGGGAAATGTGGAGAGATGGGAAATCGCAAAATCTTGAGGTGTCTATCCTATTTACAAAAAGTGTAGTTTGGCTTCAATGCAAACTGCATGTATTGTAATAAAAATATATTAAGAGAAATAATATTTTACAATAAACTGGTTTTAATACGAAAATTTGTGAATATGAAACAAAATAACATAATTTTTTTTTCAAGAATCAACATAATTTCTAAACAAAGGACAGATTGATTTGTTCGCTTTTCAAAATAAATCACAAAAAATATAATAAATATGACTTAATAAAATATACAAATGATATTAACTCTATTTTCTTGATCTAAGGCTATACCACTTTTTCTTTGGTTTTGGCTTCTCAACTTTCTTGAAAACATATCCAGGATCTAAAGTCAGGCTTTGATGTTTGGCAATCTAAAAAATATTTAAGATATTTTTCAGATTAAAACCATTAAAAAGGAACTTATTCATATAAGCCAAAGAAAATTGAAGCATGATTTTACATATATTTAAAAACATTTTTTGATATTTTTATGACTTAATTATCCCGTTAAGGATCATGATCATATATACATCATGATTCTTTTACAGGTTACGATATTATTTATGAGACGAGCCTTAACAACACCAGCAGCCCACAGACGTCATTTTAATTTGTAAAGTTTCATTTATTTTTTTAAACGACACCAGATGGCAGTTGCACTTTGTTATAATTTCAGATAATGTCACACAGAGGGTAGATCTTCAATATGGGCTTTATGGCTCCAGTTGTTTTTATATTTGTTTATTTATTTATTTATTTTGAACCGGAATTATCTATTTGTTTATTTATTTATTTTGAACCGGAATTATATATTTGTTTATTTAAATATTTTGAACCGGAATTATATATTTGTTTATTTATATATTTTTAATTTTTTTAAGCATAATATCCAGGACTAAAGAGAAGATATAGAAGGGCTGGTTCATTCCATACTCAAAGCTGAAGATACGATTCCCCACCCCATGACGTCACGCCACACACAGAAAATCAGATCTGGAGGATATGAAAACTTTGCTGCTTTCAGTAAGAAATGAGTTGAATAATCGACGCTTTTTTGATAATAGCTGTCAAACTTTATACAGCTAATAAATTATTTCTGTTCAAAGATATAGTATTCATACTTTTTCCTGGTATTCCTTATAGTATTAAAAAAAAAAAAAAACATTTTAAAGTTCGAAAAATATCTCAATGGTTGTCGTCATTGTTTTCTTATCATTTTCTAATTTTAGTTTTTAACTCTCTCTGTTAAGTAAACGAAAGTATTTATTTATTTGACACTTTTATAGTAACATTTTGTCCGATAATACTACGTTACTATAAAAGTGTCCTTATATTTTATTAATTGGGATGCCTAATTTTAATATATTTTCTTATTTATAATTGTAATAGAAATTTTTTTGCACGTATTATCACTAGGAAACAAAAATCTTAAAATACTAATTAATAAAAAAATAATCTTTGAGAATGTAATAATAGAAAACACTTGCTCATAAATATTTAAAATTAAGGCGTTATAATCAAAACACATAAATATTCTAAATAATGACATTAAAAAATATCTTATTAAATTGAAGAGTTTTTAAGCATTAATAAGTTTTATTTTTGAAGTTCAGTACTTTTTTTTTTTTTTTTTTTTGATCTTATACATTTTTTTTCTTTTCTGTTTAAAGTTAGACAGTATCAATTTCAATGGCGAAATTAAAAGTTCTTAAACGTCTAAACAAAAAACATGTTAATATAATGCTTTTATTCACAGCAGGACAAATTTTTCCAGTACATTTTATAATTCATTTGATGCCGCCTTTATGCTTTCTGAAATAAAACATGGTAAATTGAGTTTTCTCATTTTGTGTTCATAATAATCCTTGTCGGTCGCTATCGCGCAAACTCATATTTGACTACCACTGTTAAATTTTTGCAATTGGATGAGAGGAAAATCTCCTCAATATAAATAAAAAATACCGAAAACAATGAATGTATAGAAATAAGTTTAAAAAAGATGCTAGTTACATGCGAAATAATTTATTTTTAAGGCGAGAAGTTCATGCTTCGCCACCGTGACGTCACTGACTGAAATCAGAAGATCGGAGCGGCACGAGTCTCTTCAAAGGAGTGACCTAAGGCCTGATAATATCTGTTAAAAAATTGTTGATGCATACAAATTTCATCTGATTGTGGCCGATGGGTGATAATGTGATTTTAATTCATTGAAACATTTCAAAAACTCGTGATATGAATTTTAATTTGTTTTCTTTAATTTACAGATTATTACCTACAGAGCCATCTGTCGAAACGAACTATAAACTCAGGAACTCTGAAGCAAAAAATGAACAAATGAATGCCCAGTATGAATTTCTTGCAAGATAGGTTTTTTTTTAATCTTTATTTTTAAGAGTCTTCCCTGTCATAAATATTTAATATTTTAAATATATATTTTCCTATTATAACTTCAGTCTAATTAGGGGTACGCTGTTTATGCATGTCCGCATTGCTGTGAATGCGATCTAACTTTCTTAACTGCATCAATTTCGACTTATAATAATGCTTTTTATTATTTCTTTAAAATGTAACGCATGTGTTCCTGATCAAAAACACATCCAAACTTTTATACACTTTGGAAGTAAATTAAAATTTAAAAAAAAGAAGGAGGTAGCCGTTCATATGACATTCTAATGCTATCGCAACAAAAATTTACCCTTGGTTTATTTTAAGATGACTAAAACTTAGTCATCTTAAAATGAACCTAGGGTAAATTTTTGTTGATCTTGCATTCATTAAAGCAAATTTATAGTTTTATTGACTTTGATAAGATGTTGTTCATTACTTTATATTTTTAAAAATGATAAAATGAAAAATGAATAATCAAAATTTCTTTCAATAATTTATTCAATAATTTTATAATTTTATTCCATAATTTTTTTTTTTAACTTCATATCAGTTTATAGGCATTTCAGAAAATAAGTGACGAAGAAAATTGTTAAAGCACGATTTGGCCAAGAACCAACAATGATCCAAGGTAGTTAAATGCTTTATTTAATGTTCGGAAAAATCATTCAATATAAATAAAAAAAATATTTATATTTAGACATTTTCCGATTAAGAAACTATTTTCATGTAATATTCTCATTTGTATCAATTTCAACTTATAATAATATTTTTTAATGTTTCATTAAGAGGAAACACAGTAAACAACACAGTAAAGTTTTTGAAAAAAATTTTAAAAAATTATTTTACTCGTATTTTTCGATAGACTTTTTTTCAAAATTTATGAACGAAAATATTGAATTGAGTTTCGTAAAATGCAAAAGTTTCAACATAACAAGTCGAGCTCGGTGTGCGACGCTTGGACGCGGTGTGCGACACAGGACGCGCTGTGACATGCATGAACTAATGAACTTATGCGTTCAGTTGATTAATGGATTTGCCTCACTCATATCAAATCATTTTAGTAAAAGCCTTAGTGGTTCAGGGGATAGAGTCCTCGCCTCCCAATAAAATAAACCTAGTTAAAAAAAAAACTTGTACATTTCTACAAAAAATAGACTGAAAACGTCATTAAAAAACTGTAGCTTGAAGAGAGAAACCGATAACAGATTTGAAATCAGCGATACGAAAGTATCTCCTTCCAATGAGGTGATCGGGGTTCGAATCCCAGCGATGGCTGGTCTATACGAATTCCACACCCCACTCGCACTAACCAAAGTGCTTACGTAAAATATCGCCAGTGGTAGATGGATCATGGGTTAGAGTCCCCTTGCGGTCAGGATAACTTAGGGTGGTTTTCGTGGTTTTCCTTTCCATTTAACACAAATGCGTCTTTGTTTTATCCAAAAGTCCGCCACGAAGGCAGATTTTCTCCCAATACTTGATCCAAAAGTTCCCTTGAGGGCTATGGTGTTGAATATTGGTAGTCGTAAATCCTAAAATAGGGTCGGCTGTTCAACGACGGTAATATATTTATAAATCCAAAACCTTTTAGTAAAACACTATCATTTTTACTATTTTATAGAATTTTTTTTCTAAAATTATTTAAGAATAAGAATTAATAGTATTCTTAATATAAATGGTTTAAATTACAACTTATTTAGCTGTGATAATTTTATTGAAGGCTTCAAGAGGTCATTTGTTTCGTTTTCTAGGGACGGTAGGTCGGTACTTAATTTACGTCGCACTAGAGCAGCACATTGGCGACCGCCTGGGAAACATCCTTGAGGATGATCCGAAGACGTGCCATTGCAATTTTGATCCTGTGCAATGGGGATGGCTCCCCTGGTTTGGGAGCTCGACGACCTGTGATCGAAGACGAACACTTTAAGGTAGAGCAGTTAACGAGGACTGATACCGCGTTCCCTCGGTCCCTACGCAGGCTGATCAAAGTGATCACCCACCCACTTACTGACCGCAGCCAGTGATGCTTGACTTCGATGTTCTACTGGGAACCTCGTATTTACGATCAGTTACGACTGCTGGACTGTTTTATAGGGACAGTTTTGGAAGAATTAGAAACAAATGTGGCCCAAACAAATTTACAAAATAAAGATAACCGCAGAATTTTGATTAGCATTTGCGAAATCTAAAAGTAATGCAGAAATAGCATCTTATTGACCTGGTATTGATGTATTATAGTTGGAGGCAAAATTTTATATATTTAGATGGATTATTGATTACAAAATTTTAACGTTATTTACTCGAAATTATGTTTCTCTTACTCGCTGTATCTGCAATTAGCTCAGTTTTCAACCAATGTAATCACCAATAAGAAAAAAAATGGACCACCCAAAATAACTGTTGATTTAATGATCTGATCTTCACGTTCTAGGACTCAGTTTTAATGGTTCAAAGGGGTGACTTCACATAGTTTAATTAAATTGTGCAGCCGATATTTTAAGTTACGAAACCATGCACACAAAATTACTTTCTCTCAATAAACATACCATTTTTTTTGATGGATATGGATTTCTGACCCCAAAAATCGGTTAAATAGTTCATGAGAAATTGAATTTCAAAAATTTCGGATATTCCAAATTCGAGGTGGTTCGTTCTTGTTTTGCGCGCTGTACTTTAATATAATTTTTGTCGCATGAAGGGACTTTTAAATTAGGTTGACTTGTTTTGAGTAATCTAGAAAATTGTAACTTACTTCGTGTCACTTTTTCGAACTTTTTTTTTAGAAACACCCCCATTTTGTGAAACTAAAAATTATTTTTTTAACATCCTGAGTGCAAAGAAAATTAAATTCAAGTAATTTGAAAATATCAAAACGGAATTAAATTTGAATGATTTTTTTAACTCGAATAATTTCAGAAATAAGTTATAAACATTGTATAATATAAACGTTAATTTTTTAGTATTTTATTACTCGTTAAAATGAAGATTAAAATATATATGATAGGATAAAATGTATTAAGTTTAGTTTATCATAATAGTTGCAAAATTCATTAAAATAAACCTTTTTTACAGGCTTTTACTGTGATGTTCCTCCATACGGAAAAGTGTTTGAAAACCCAGTAAATTGACGATGGAAATTGAGCGAGACTAAAAAATCATGTAAGTTAAAAACTATAATAAGAAAAAAAGTTAAAAAAAGAGAGAAGAAAAAAAGAAAAAGTTTGAAGAAGTGGAGTAATAGAAGCCAAAATCTTCCATTGTAGCGCCAAGCAATAAGTAGGATTAGGTAATATTTCATTAAAATGTTACGCATGTTTTTTTTTTAAATCAAAAACACACCCATACTTCAACAGCATACTTCGAAAATGATTAATGAAACAAAATTACAAAAAAATAACCTTTCAGATGACCTTTTAATGTTATCGCAACTCATAATTTTATTTATTTCAAAATGAGCGTTAGATTTAAGCTGCCTCTAGTAGGTATTTATTAAAGCAAAATTATCATCCTATCAACATTAATAGGACGTTATTCATTGCTTTAAGTCTTTAAAGATGATAAAATGGAAATTATGTCAAATTTTTATTCAATAAATCGTTTTTGTATTAAATTTTATATTAGTTTAGAAGTTTTTAGAAAATATTTGTCAAAGCACGATTTGGCCTAGAACCAACAATGATACTAGGTAGTTAAATGCTTTATTTAATGTTCGGAAGATTCATTAAATATAAATAAAAAAAATATTTATATTTAGACATTCTCCGATTAAAAAGAAGCCCCCATTTTCATATAATTTTCTTACTTGTAGCAATTTAAATTTATACTAAAAAAGCTCGTTAACATTTATTTAATATTTTACACTTGTATTCTTGATCAATAGCACAGCTAGTTTCAGAATTTGTTAATAAAAGAAAGCAGTTCAGGTGATTAAATTAAGTTATTACAGCTGATAATTCTATTTATCTCAAAATGAACTTACAAGCTTTTCAGAAAATAATTGTCAGAACACGATTTGGCCTAGAACCAACAATGATCCTAGGTAGTTAAATGCTTTATTTAATTTTCGGATGATTCAGTAAATATAAATAAAAGAAATTATTTATATTTAGATGTTTTCCGATTTGAAAAACTAATGTTTTCAAGTTGACCAATGTTCTGCTGTTCTCATATAAAAATAAAAGATTATTAAGATTTTTGCTTGTAAATTTATTTTGCAAATTTTGAAAGCATAAATCTTAAGTAATGATGAAGGCAATGGTTAAATTAAAAAAAAAATAGAAAATATAATGACACAAAAAATTTATAATCTTGTACTTGTTTTTAGCATTTAAATGTGCTTTAGACATCATGTATTTCAAAATCTCAGCTGCTGAATAAAAATCTCATAAAATAATAAAAATCTCATAATAGCTTACAGTATTTTCTACTTAATGTTTGTTTCAGATAATTATGATAGGATATTAGTTTTAAACTTGGATAAAAATAAAATTAGAAAACATTACAAATAAAAAAAAAATATCTGACAAACCATTAGTGACTAATAAACACGCTAAAATCTGTTCAAAAAGTTTAAAATTAACAACTCTTTCCAGCACATTTCTTCCAGCTTATTATTGAAAGTGAATGCAATGACTTTTTCTGCTTTAATTAGGAATAATTTGAAATGGTGGTAGTTTTGATTGAATAAGATAGATTCTATTGAATAGAAGATTGAATAGATTTTTTATTTTATATTTCCAATGGCAACGGAAATTGACAAACTCTTATAAGATTAACAAAGAACAGAAATTGAGAAAATAACACTCTAAGTGAAAAAAGTCAATGTCCCAACAGCAGATGTCGAGCTTTCTAGTATCGCTTCACCAAGATTAGACCCCCACGCAGAGATTAACCCCAAGATTTGCCCTTACTGCATCCCAACAAATGGTTCCTGTACATGATTACGTCTCTTCCACAAAGATGTCAATTCGTGAAAATATCAATTCGGTGAAGATTAAAATTTCTATACAATTTGGAAACACATTCTATTTAATAGTAAGACTCTCTATTGCGTCAAATATTAACGATAAAAAAATAAGAAATTTAAAACTCGTAGCACTTTCGCATTTATACGACCACAGAAAGATAAAGAATTTACACTAGCTTTCTGCAATCTTAGAAAAATTTTGAAAGTGGTTTTTAAAGCTATTTCATTAACTCTATTCTATTCATTAGCTATTCATTAACAAATAACTTTTTATTGCCACTAATATAAATAATTCATGAGATATTTAGTACTACAAAAAGACTAAAAAAGAAAATGAAGTTGTTAATATAGCGACGAATTTGCTGTAGCCTTCATAAAATTTTGCCAACCATTTTTTTACATTTTAGTCTACGACAGTCGAAATATTAAGGGAACTGGAAAGTAATGCAGTTTCTGTGCATTTTATATTTGTTATCAAAATTTTATTTTTATTCAATAATATATTCACCCTCGTTAGCAACAACTTTTCAATGCCGGATCGAAAATGAATCAAAAAAGATGAATTAATTCTTAAGACTAACGAATATTTAATGAGCCGAAACGGCATTACTTTCCGGTCCTCCTAATAGATAAATAAATAAAAAAGAATTGAGTGTCTACCACTTCTAAGATATTTAATCGCCAGTGGCATCCTTGATTTTATAATTGATGATTATTTCAAGAATAGGAAAATAATGGAAGATATTACACTTACCATTGCAGGGTTTACTTCGTCGGTAGAAATTGTACCTGAAAGGAAAAATAATTGTTAAAAAAATGAAGAGATTCACAAACATTTATCGCGTCCTAATTTAACTAATTTTCTGAAATAGAAAGCAAATAAAACGTGAAATGCTTCGCATGGTATTAAAAAGTGTTATGCAAAAATTTTACGCTGATAATTTCAACAGTTTCGTTCACTTTCTGTACTTTATTGGCACATTTCAAATAAGACAGATAAGGCGTTCTAAGTAGGATAGATGAAACTCAATTTTATCAGAACCGTTTGTGATAAGTCAAGAGGCTAATCACGATGTGAAGAAAGCAGATTCTTCCTAACGGCCATCGTTTATATTCTTCAATGATAAATAAACAACTGATACAGATGAGAGAAGGCTCTAAAAGATGAGAGAAAGCTTACACACTGTAGAAATGCTATGTATTGTTGCGAATATAATTTTAGAATACTCAAGAAAAAAAATTAAGGAACTATTTTATGTATTATATTGAAAAACTAGTTCATAGCACATGCATTTGGATGCAATACCATTTACACATCATATAATATCATTTATGCATTTATAACAAAAGTTACAAAGATAATAACTTTTTTCACGTTTCTCGCACAAAAATCAAATGTCTAAATTTTTATTTTATAATAAAGATCAAAGTCTAATAATTCTAATCCATTTATTTTTATTTTTGCTGCATAAGAAGAATTTTCATAATTTTCAAGCACTCTTTGTATTACTGAACTTTGCTATCTGTTCTTCTTGGCGACTTTTTTTTTTCAAAACAGAAAGTTTTAACAGGAAAGAACCACTTTCTCCAACAATATCTTCTGCAATGAAAATGAATTTCGGTATGTCCCTTACATTTTTCAAATTTAATTTAAAGAGAATTTTTGCTTAAATATTTATTTACAGAATTTGCGTTTTTTTCTCATTTGAAAAAAAAAGCATTTTAACGCTATATTTCAAGCACTCTTTGTATTACTGAACTTTGCTATCTGTTCTTCTTGGCGACTTTTTTTTTTTTCGAAACAGAAAGTTTTAACAGGAAAGTACCACTTTCTCCAACAAGATCTTCTGCAATGAAAATGAATTTCGGTATGTCCCTTATACTTTTTCAATTTTATTTAAAGAGAATTTTTGCCTAAATATTTATTTGAAAAATTTGCGTTTTTTTCTCATTCGAAAAAACAAAGCATTTTAACGCTATTTTTTAAACTAAAGTCTCGTACACAACCGAATGTTTTGATGTACTTCAAAACAATAATCTATTTATCATCGTAATATCGTGTTCAGTTCTGTGTTTACAACTCTTATTTTATACAAATACACACACACATTGGTCCTGCCTAATTCGGATGGGGGAATTTCAAATCAGAAATTAATTTTGAACCTAGAGCTACAGTTTTTTTTAGTCTATGACATTTGACATTTTTAGACATCATAAATTGACATTTTTAGTTTAATTTTTGTCGAAATGTAAAAAATTAAAAACGTTATATATGGATGGGGGGGGGGGAGGACACGTAAATCTTGCAACAAACTTTCTAAGGAATCTAAGTATGAAGACTGAATTAAACAAAAATGAAGTCCAGAATTTAAGTAAAATAAGTCAAAATAGAACAGCGTTATAAGCAGCTAAAACCCTAATTGTCTTAGGTACACAAACTTAAATATAAATGTGAGAATTTAAATAAAACTGAACAAATTTTAAAGATACGCATGTTGGCACAAACAGTACTTCAGGAGACACACTGTCATGCTAACATACTAGCCAGTGGTTTACCAAAAACTAAATTGTGATCGCTGGATATTACAGGTATTGTATTATTTTCTTATTTTGTTTTCTATTTTCTTTTGCCTCGGGACATAGTCAGTTTTTTGTTTAACCACTGACTACAGAAATGTTTCAACATGTTAGCATGACAGTGAATGAACCCTAATGAAGTACTGTTACTGCTAACATGCGTATCTTAAAAATTTGTTTGGTTTTTGTGTAAATTCTCCCATTATATATTTAAACTTCTAGGGAAGTCAGCGCACATCATCAAGATTAATTTTACTTTGGAATTCATGCCCGGAAATGTTGTCGTACGCGACTAGGGGCTCCTCCCTATAACAATCTTTTCCAGAAGGACAAGAAAAATTAGTTCATAAAAGAAAGCTCCCCAAGCTGCGTAGGATGGCATTTCCGTTTTTAATCCTGAAGATTATCCTTAAATTTCAGCTAAAGAATTATGAAATATTTTAGAAATGTTTTTGGTGAAATATTTTTTTAAAAAATAATTTACCAGTTATTAAAACATACATCAAGGTCTGTCAAAATTCAAGTTTTTATGAATTAATTAAAGAAAGAATGAAAAACTTCAGCTATTTCAAATTTTCTTTAGAAAAATACATAAAACTTAGCAACTATGACACTGTTTTTAGTTTATTTTATAACCGTAGTTGAAAAGCCAACTCAATCTTGAGTTCACGAATACTGATATTCAACTCCATAGCATTGTAAATTTGAACCGAATCCAGAAGACAAGGGAACTCCTGGATCAAGTATTGGGTAGTGGAATTTTTACGGGAACTAACCCGCTATTGCGTTGCAGGAGGAGGAAAACCTCGAAAACCTTCCACGGCAAGGGGTCCATCCATGGGGTTTAATCCATGATCCGTCTACCACGGAGGATATTTTAGGTCAGCACTGTGGTCGGTGTGAGCAGGGTGTGTAATTCGTATCGACCAGCCATCGCTGGGATTCGAACCAGGGTTACCTCATTGGAAGGAGATGCTTTCATAACGTTGATTCCAAATCTACGATCGGTTTCTCTCTCCAAGCTACAATTTTTTAATAACATTTTTAAACTATTTTCTGTCAAATTGAGCAAGTTTAAAAACGTTTTATACAACAGGAGGTCGCGTAAATGTTGCAACAAGCTTTTAGGGGAGTTAAGGCACATCACAAGGATTAAAACTGCGTAGGAAGCCATGTTCGGAAATGTCCTTATACGCTGCTAGGGGCATTTTCCTATCATGAACTGTTTCTTCGTGTGCTTTCTTTGTGTGTTTCCGCATTTTTTGGCATTTCCGGGTACGGGTTATTATGCAATTTTAATCCTGATGATATGCCCTAACTCCCCTAGAAGAAGGCGCTACAATCCTAGAACATTTACGCGATTTCCAGTTATATATAACGCTTTTAAAACTTGTACATATGGACAAAAAATAGTCTAAAAATGCCATTTAAAAAAAATCCGCTGCTTTAGGAACAAAGCTAATTTAAATTTCAAATCCCCTCACTCGAATCAGGCAAGATCGAATGTTTGTATAAATGCAACCAGAAGTTTGTTCCCCAATGTAATCAATCTATATCTGTGTTTCACCGACATTGGTGAAACAGAGTAAACATGAATACTCAAAACGTTATTTCAGTATACTGTTGCTTTTTGACATACCGACTAGATCTCTAAGAAATGTTTTTATGATTCGTAGTTTTCATATTGTTTATTACAATCATATTTCCTATAAAAAGGTTTATTTACAACTACCTCGGGGAGTAGGGTGAGGATTAGTGTAGGAGTGTTGTTTATTACAATCCTATAAATAAAAAGGTTTATTTACAACTACCTCGGGGAGTAGGGTGAGGATAAGGCTGAGGGCTAGCTGTTTTTGCTTTTCTCGGTGAAATAGATATCCCACAATTACAAATTGATAATTTGTTAGCTACAAATCGTTTGCGGTCGCCCCCTTTTACATGGTGGACGCTAGAGGAAGGGGGTTTGAACGGCGAGAGGACCACTCGTCTGGTCAGCAGATGGGGAGATAAGGAGTGATAGATTTTAAGGAGTCTGTCGAGGCACACGTAGGCACAAGCCATTTTACATGCAGAAAGGTAGACCCCCTGGAATGCTGTGGTCAATGGCACGTGGCATCCATGTCTAATTGGTTGATATCCATGTCTAATGAGGGAGGGCTTTCCTTCAACTTTGCGAGGTAGTTCTCTCCGTTAGTGTAGGAGTGTTGTTTATTACAATCCTATAAATAAAAAGGTTTATTTACAACTACCTCGGGGAGTAGGGTGAGGATTAGTGTAGGAGTGTTGTTTATTACAATCCTATAAATAAAAAGGTTTATTTACAACTACCTCGGGGAGTAGGGTGAGGATTAGTGTAGGAGTGTTGTTTATTACAATCCTATAAATAAAAAGGTTTATTTACAACTACCTCGGGGAGTAGGGTGAGGATTAGTGTAGGAGTGTTGTTTATTACAATCCTATAAATAAAAAGGTTTATTTACAACTACCTCGGGGAGTAGGGTGAGGATTAGTGTAGGAGTGTTGTTTATTACAATCCTATAAATAAAAAGGTTTATTTACAACTACCTCGGGGAGTAGGGTGAGGATTAGTGTAGGAGTGTTGTTTATTACAATCCTATAAATAAAAAGGTTTATTTACAACTACCTCGGGGAGTAGGGTGAGGATTAGTGTAGGAGTGTTGTTCATCTTCAGATGAGGCCAAATCAGGTATTCTTTCATCTCTTAAAGTTGATAAACTTGAAGTTGAACCAGCAACCGCTATTAAAAGCAATGGTTTAAAAACAATGGTTAATGGTTAAGTAAATAAATGTTAATATTAAAATATAGTGATAGAAATAATTGTGTTTCTTTGTTTCTAAAAATTAGACTTTCTTAACTTATATCTTAATTAGGTATTTACAGTAACAGGTGGAGAAATGTTTTTAAAATTTTGCTTCTATTATAGTTGGCGCAACAAGAATACTGCTATGCAATTGATGAAACAACAGAAGAGCTTCACGATGGATTTTGTGAAAAGTTACTTGACAGCGATTTTCTTTCTATTGCTAATGCTACAAACGCTAAAATAGAATTTCAAAAAACTCATTTAACAAATTCAGATAAAAGAAAAAAATTGAGAAAAAAGAACCCGAATTTCGCTTCCATTATAGTTGATGCAACTAGAATACAGCTGTGCAATTGAAAAAACAACGTAAGTGCTTTACGATAGATTTTCAGTAATTCGAGTGATCAAAATATCAGTAAGTTTTTCCGAAGCACTTTGGTAATGGTTTTGTTAAATGCAATACAATATTTTTTTTTTACTCTATAACGATTTTTTTGACCATATGTTTAGCAGTAAATGAGGTTAAATTTGGAAATTTCACTATGTTATCTTTGAGAATTTTATAAAACGGATTTTCAGTTCTGTAATTATATCTAAATGTGCAGTAAAGTGTCGTGGTGGTGCCATCTGTTGGAAGAGTAACGAAAGTTACTGAATGCGAATTAAATTAAATAATATTTATTTCTTTTTCTTTTATTTCAAAAAATTAGAAAAAAACACGAGTTTAAAGATAAGTAAATTGAAGTATGCAGGTTATTACTTTCCAGTTTTAATTGTACTTTTACTGTGATAAATTGTTGAGCCTGAGAAAGATCCAAAACTATAATTTTGAAAACTAAACATTTCGATAAACTGTTGTCATACGAACAGAAAGAATTACCATAAGAATATTTTCAATACCGTACATGTTGACTTAACAAACCAAAATTACGCTTTTTTTTAAAAAAAATTTTTTTTTTCAAGAAATGTCATTACCAAACAGAACGGTAATTTTGTAAAATTTATTTTTCCGTGTGCAGTAATGTCTTAATGTGAAAAAGTCTCAATTATTAATCTCAATTATTTTGTCGCTTACATTGATTTTTCTATGGTACGGTAAAACAAATATATTAAAAAAAGTTTTAGTTTAGAAATATGTTAAAGATAATATCCTTTCCGTTAAGAGAGTTTCAGTTTAAAAATCATATCTTTTACTTTTAAAATAGAGTATGATAATATAAAGTAAGAAATAAATATAGTAAGAATAGAGTAAGAAATAAAATAGCGGATTGAAATAAAATAGAGGATTGGAATGAGCAAGAGGAAATAAAATAGAGGATAATAGAGAATTAAAATAGAAGATAAATCAAAATTATACATTTCCAATTTTGACCCACAACAAAATTTTATATAGATAAATCGATAAATTCTGTAGATTGAATATATCTAGGGAAGGAAATAAAGTTTTTGTGTATCATTTTATTTTATTCAAATTCTTTTGTTTGTTGTTATTTTTATTATTTATTTGTTGTTACCAAATATCACTGAGATTTCTGAAAGAAATTTTAGTGAACGAGGTATGTTTTTTCTGTTAGTGTTTTAAAATGTTCATTAAATTTATACATTTAGTGGTAAGGAAAATGTATAACAATTTGTATATGAGAGAGTTTATTGACATGCCAGTTTTTTTTTTATGTTCCTTAAGGTTTTGTCGATTAAATTCCGTACTTTTAGAAACTTAAATCAAACAAGAGAAGAAACTACCAAATTATTGGAAGATGGGATTTTATATTAAATAACTTTACGATAAAGAATCTAAAATATTTAAAAAATTGTCCAAATTGTAAAAATACTGAATAAATTATTTTATTTATTCACCATTAAATAGATATATGAATTTATGTATTTAATGGTAAGGAAATACATAACGATTTCTACGTGACTGTTTTCATGACTATTTTTTTTAAAGGTTCTTTAGGGTTTTGTAGATTAAATTCCGTGTTTTTAAAAACTTTAACTCTTCAAACGGGAGAGCAAGCTACAAAACTATTGGAAGATACAATTTTACATTAAAAAAAATTACAAAAAATAATCTAAAATATTTGAAAATTGCCCAAATTTCAAAAATAAATTTTTTTTGGTGAAAAAAATTTGGTAAGAAGAGAGTTTAATTTATGGGAGAAAAAGAAATTGTTATGATCTTACAAGGAGAGGCAATGGAAATTCTAGGGAAATTCACTTACGGATAAAATTTGGTATATTAGTAATATACTTTAAGGGTGCTAATATTTTGAATCTAGTCCTCTATTTCCGAGAAAAATCCATTTAAAAATTCAATCATATTTTATATTCTAATTAATTCTTCACTTCGATAACGGAGCAGTGGTCTAAAAGCAGAGAACCAGCCTAACAGCAAAACGGTGAGAAACGTGCAGTGGAACTGTTTTTTTTTTTTTTTTTTTTTTCCTAATAAAGTTTTTAGTTTTATTTTATCGTTTACAAGTAATTTAAATTACTATAGAAATACAATTTTTAATAAAATTGAAATGGTTTGAGTGATAATATTTAAAAAAACGTGCTTACAATGGGAAAATAGTTAGATTTTTGTTACTTAATTTAATAATAAATTTTTATGAATTTTTATTATAATTTGGAAAAAAAAATTAATCGTGAAAAAAATTAAAACAAAAAATTACTTGGCATCATTCACAAGTATTAGATATAATTGTTCACATGAACAGCGTCTATGAAGTTGATCTGTTGAAAAACATATTTCATTAACGTTCAAAAAGATTCGTCAATCTGTTGATAATTTAAATACCTTTTACAAAACATTAGCGATGAACAGTTGTTTTTATTTTAGTCTAGTATTCACGTGAATTTATTTTTTGATTTCATTCAATTAAGTATTCAGAATTCTGTAAACACTTTATTAGATTTTTCCTTGACGATAAAAACACCATAAGATTTTTGTAGATCAATGAATTTTAGATAAGCCATTATAAAATCTAACTTTTTAATTTCTCTAACCTTTCATTTATAAACATTATTATTCTTATCAATATTTAATTATGAAAGATTTAATTATTTCTATAATTCAAATGTCAATAATATCTAATAACTAAAAAAATACAACGAAAACTAAATTATATTTAAATTAATATAATTTTTAAAAATATCTATTCTTACTCTTAAATGTAAAGGAAAAAAATAAACGAATAAAGTTTTAAAAAAAATACTCTAATTTAAAATTCAAGTAATATTTAAAAATCAAAGAACTCCAACTCGTATTTAGGCAGGTAACTTGCCTCTCTCTCTCTCTCTCTCTCTCTCTCTCTCTCTCTNTATATATATATAATTTTGAATGCTATTAGAACTTTATAAGTTAGTTACACTTACGGGTAGACATAAAATTTTTAAATGAAAGATCTATTGTGTAAAATATTTACCGGTCACATAGCTGGAAGTATTTGATACTGATGATCTTGCTGATGCTGAATCATGATCGTACGACTCAGCAGAAAAAGATTGACGTGCTTCGGCAAATGGATCGTCGTAGAAAGACTCTCCTACACTTTTTACTTCAAAAACATTCGACAATCGAAATTCATCGGGTTTAATTTTCTCTTCTTCTGATGAGGAACCAAATTTGTTATCTCCATCTTCTAAATGTTCTTTGCTTTTAATCTTTTGAAGAGGTTTTTTGAACCAATTTTCTTCTGTTGATGATTTACGTTGATCATCATCAGATATTCCTGTGCTTAAATACTGTTCTTTGTGTTTCTTCCTTTCAACAGGCTTTTTGTACCAATTATCTTCCGTTGATGATTTACGCTGTTCACTAGCAGATACTCCAGCACCAATAAAGTGTTCTTTGCTCTTTTTCCTTTCAACAGGCCTTTTAAACCAACTGTCTTCAATCGATGATTTTCTTCGATCTTCATCTGACATTCCTACACCATGACTATCTTCTGATAACGTTCGTAATCGGAATTGATCATCAATTATTGATTCATCATCTTCTTCTGTCTGATATAATGAGTTACGACCAACATTTGCGTACAGCTGGCTTTCTTCTACGTCTACATCATCGTATCTCTCATACCGATCCTCTTCATAAGCGGGAGGTGCTTGTTTTTGTCCCTTGGACCTACTATAACTAGTTTGGTCATATGCAGTCGTTAATTGCCTATTTGGTGGCAAAGATGCTGCGTATTTGATTTTCTGCATCCATTCTTGTCTCTTAATGTCGCTTAAAGCTTCAAATAAAAAGGCTGATCTGTCAGATACTTCAAGTCTGAAAACATACTTCTTTTTGTGATAGTCTGATGGTATGAAACAATTGGCTTTTAATATGTTTACGGGTGGACTTGCAGCTTTACTGTTTTGGAACATTTTTTTATCTTTGAAAAAACAGAGCAACTGTCCACACAAAACTGTGTAGTAACTTTTCCACTGTCTCATTGTTGAGCGTTTGCCTCCACTTAGTACTTCTTGTTTGCGAGCAAGGAATCCTTCTGCTGTTGTAGGTGGTAATTCTTTAGGTGGCACATACGTCGGTGGTTCCTCCACAATTTCTAAAATAAAAATAAAAACATTTATAAAATAAATATAATAATTTGAATACAGACAAATTACGCTCCCATAAAAAATTGGTTCAAATTTGATCCAAAATGTCAGTACTTTTAAACATAACAAGAGGCAAACTTGATGCAAACTAAAAAAAAAAAAAGAAGGTTAAAATTAACCACTTTCCCGGTCAAGTTGAACCATAGTATCGTGTAAGCAAGTTGAGAAACGATTTTTCTTAAACTTAGTCTAACTTGACAGGTGACCAGCAGTGACAATCTGTATCTTTAGCTTCGGAGTTTTAGCGCACCCTTTAACAATTGATTCATCTTGTATTGCTCTCCATCAAGCCTGACTTGGGGCCTTGGGCCAACGAGTCCACAATTGTTTGGTGTCCTCTTGCTGTAGCAGCTACTGCCACGCTCCTGACATTATCTACGAGCCGCAACTTCAATTTTACACGAGGCCTGATATCAGGTTTATGACGTCACAAACTGAACGAAAACCTGATTTTCGACATACGATTCTCCTCAGATTTCAGACAAGCGTTGTCATAAAAAACAACAACTTCGAATCAGGCCAGAATTAAGGTTCGAGATGATTTGCTTTTTGCGCTCACGTGTTTTTTTTCCCTTGCTAATCTTCGCAAGGTGGGTTTCTTAACATCAGGAATTGTGTAAATTTGGCAAGCATTTTTCAAGTTCGTGACGTCAGAAACCTGTTTTCAGACGTCTTCTTTTAGTCTTCGTGTGAGAGCCTGGGGCGAGGCTTGATTGATCATAAGAAAAATGATAATATGGTTAAACATGAAACTAAATTAAGATTGTTGTAATTTTAAATAATATTATGGTTCAACATGCTTCAAAATTTCAAATTGTATAGTGCCCTTAAAAATATGTCTTATGCCAATATTAAAACAATGTACCTGGTATTATAGATTCTCTTTTCCCAATGACAGGTGTTCTGGGTAATACAGAACCAGGTCTTTCTCTGAGGGATCTTCTACTTCCTATTCGAGTAAATTTAGGTTCCTCTGATAATGAGTTCTCAAAATTCAAATAATCACCATCGTAGTCAATTTCACTCACTCCTGTTGGCACACGTTCTTTTTGCCGTTCCTGGAAATAAAAATAGAGTAGTCATTTCTAATTGCATATACGAAGCGTCTTTTAACCCATTTTATCTATCTATCTNCTTAAGCTATTGTATTTTAATCGCTGTCGTTATTAAGAGTTATATATATATATTTGGATCTAAAGTCAAAGCTCCGTCTTTTAATTAAAATGTTATTACTTATTTATTCTAACGTAAAATTAAATTGGAAGCTGTGAAAAATTATTAATCTACTTCATAAAAAATTTGAAGAATTTTTTTCTTTTTTGAAAAATAAAAGTGCCGGAAGAAAAGCTACTTAGTGCATTTTATAAAATGATATTTCAGATGTTAATTTGGAGGGTGAATAAGTATTATTATATTAAAACAGAACAAAAAATACAATTTCTGAGAAAAAAATCATTTAAAAAAAAAAATAGAATCTAATTACTTTTTCAGTGTAGGTAAAACGTGTAGCTTTGTGGATTCAATAAAAATGTATTATGAATGTAGAAAGTAAAATATACCTCTAAAAGTCTCTCTTCTTCTTTACGTCTGATTTCTTCCAGTCTTTGCTGTTCTTCTTTCTTTTCTTCTTCAATTCGTTTCTTTTCTCTTTCTACTTCATCCTCAGATGCTTTTCTTTCAACCTGAAAATCACGATCAAAAAATGATTTTAAAAAATTGAAATGAATTTTTAAAACAAAAAAATAATTTTAATAAAAAAAATAATATAAATTTTAGATTTTTCAATTCTATCTGTGGAAATTTCTAAGGCAGAGTGATCAGCCATTTCAAGTAGGAGTTCCTCTTATGTCATTACATTCATGATACATGTGCTGATGAAAGAATTAATGTATGCATGATATCCACAACTAAACTAAGGGACATACATAAAGGACAATGGCGTGGTGGTTAGGGCTCTAAGAACCATCTCGTTATACCGGAGTTCGATCCCCGGTTGCGAGTTAAAGCCCCCCCCCCCTTCTCTGCTTCAGACTGATAAGTACCAGCTTGTCTGAGAAGTATAGATGGCCGTCATATGCCGTTTGTCGCAAAATTGTGTAGACCGACAAAATAGCTGTTTGCGGGATTGTTTCGTTATGTATTGGAAGAAAATATGTCCTAGTACCTAATAAGAAAAAAATCATAAGAAAATATCGTCAAATACAAGTTACCAATCTTTATATTAAAAGCGAAATCCTTATTTCTTTGGAAAATCTTGGGTAGTTGCCGAGGGATCAATTAAATGATAACTTTAGATTGAAGACCAATCCAGAAACGATTGGTAATTACCAGGACGCATAGGCCATCACGTTAACAGATATATACAAACGTTAATTTCTTTTGGCTTAACTGATTTCACTTAACGTTAATTTCTAATTTTGATTGTAATTGTCTCCGAATTATTCCAAAAAGTTTTTTTCAAGTCATTTTGTCTTCTTTCTGCTTATTGATTTAATTTTGCGTTAAGTTAGATTTTTAATTGCGTTTTTTTTATTCTAAAATATTTTGCCATGTTTTTTAGACTTATGTTTTAACTTAATTAACTTGTAAATATTTGTACATAATTCTTGTAAATATTTGTACATAATTCTTGTAAATATTTGATTGTTTACTTTTGTATTATTTTCTCGAATTTTTTGTATTTTATAATTCAACTTATGTTTAAACATTGTGATTTAATATTTAATATCTTACTTAACTATTTATTGTTACCTGATACATTTCACATATTTATTCCCTCATTTTACAAATTGTTTATTATATGTCTATTATTTCCGACAAATCAGTTAATGTGGCTTCGTGGTTCTGTACCGAGTTGCCTATTTCCAACGTTCTAGCGTACGAACCTTTTATTCAGGCACTGGTACAGTGACAGTTAGCAGCAGATGAGTATTTCTTTAAGAAAAAAGTAATTAATTTTTTTTTTTAAATTAGCATTTTTTTCAAGCTTCAAAACAACTATTCATTCTGTTTTAATGTTTTTCCCCATTGCTTGCAAATATTAAAATCACGCTTGCCCTCTGAGTTTTAGTGAGATAAATATTTCTTTCTGAATATTAAATGTAATAATTAATATTAGGTATATTTTAACATTAAGTTAGTTAAACTTTTTTGGGGGGATCTAAGTTAAGAAATGCACTTGAACTAAACGTTAAAAAGGTAATTTTCATGTTAAAATATAAAAGACGGTTCGGTTTTAGAGTTCATTTTGAAACACGAAATTGTTGCACAGATAAATAATAACGAAAATAATGGCTTAATAATTGATTAAAAGCATTATTTAATGTATGTTTTAAGCAAAAATAGTTTTCATATCCAGATTTGAGACGCAGTAATTTAAATCTATATGAATCATTCAGTTTTAATTTATTTTTTGTCAGAGAATTTATTTTTAATCATGTTTTAAAAAAGTTTAAATATGTTTTGGGAAAACTCAAGTGTAGATAAAAATCTTTTAAATTTGGAAAGCTTACGCCAATCTTGAGTAACGAGCCATATGGAATCCTTTACATTGTATGAATAATTTTACATTGTATGAATCAAACAGAATCAGGATCAGTCGCCAAAAGCTAATTAATGTAGCCATATGAACTAACTAAAGTTATAGACTAATGCGACGTTATCTTTCAAACTAAACTTTTATGATTTGATATAAGTATTAAAGCAGTCAGCCTGTTATCCCAGTAATATATAAATTTTATTGGGCTTGATTGAAGAGAAAATTTAACTGTTACTGACTTTTCGTTTACTATAATGTTTCGACGGATGGGTCACCAATAGCTTATTAATGCAACGTAAACTAACAAAAGTTATAGACTAATGTGACGTTATCTTTCAAACTAAACTTCTATGATGGGATATAAGTATTAAACCAGTCAGCATGTCACCCCAGTAATATATAGTGAACAGTAATATATAAACTTTACTGGTCTTGACTAAAGAGAATTTTTCGTTTACAATAATGATTGTGTCGCCGATTGAAAATATACTTTCAAAAATCTAGTCCCACAGTCAACTTCATATTTTACACATCCATTTAAGTTTAAATCTATAGCTATATAATTCTATGTCAATAGAAACTCTAAAAAGCACTTCAGAAGAACAGAATATTTTTTTAAATAAAAGTTACAACACAAATGAATGATTTGAATATTTTATAGAATATTTTAAATTTTTTAATTTTAGAAATAATTAAAAACGGTAAAATAAATAAGGAATTCTATTTTGACTTTTACTATCATTCTTTGATTGTCTCTACTTCGAGATTCATTCGTAAAGATAAAGATGACGTAACACTGCACGTCAAAGAAAAAACAATAAGCACCAGAGGGCGTAAAAAAATTTGTGAGCCGATAAATATTACTTTATTTACTAAACACAGTTTCAAGATGAACGCAACACCTGTTTTTATCGGAAGAGAAGCCGTTGAATGTTGTTTGAAAGAAAAATGGGCTGATTTAGTATCTTTAATAGAAAATGCTTTGAAATCATATTCGCAAGGAAAGGTCGTTCAACCAGTACGAAGTATTGTGTCAGTAGATAAACATAATGGGTAAGTGCGACGAATTAAACTTTTTTCAGGCAAAGAGTTTTTTAAGTTTAAATAATTTTATCTGACATTTCTCTTGTTATCACAATGCTGAACTTGATTGCTAAGGGCAAAGATAATATGTACTTAAGCTATTGTATTTTAATCGCTGTCGTTATTAAGAGTTTTTTATGGGTAGGAAGTTGCTATGGAAACCGGCATAACAAATAATGAGGGGTAAAACCGAGAGAAGAAGTGAATCAAAAATTCAGTGAATCAGTGAATCAACAAATCAATAAACTGGTAAAGCAGTTTGATAATAAAAATGGTTCATAAATCTTAGTTGCGTATAAAAGAAGTTGAAAATCACACCTTCTTTAATTGCTTTGCCTCACTGGTTAATAATATATATATATATCCACAGTATTTTAAATTGCAATATTCGGGAACTTATCAACATTATATTTCAAACTTTAGTGTGATCTAATGCGTACACTTAAAGCGCTCTAATTTAGCATAAACTTACTTCGTAATAAATTAAGATCGTAGCTAAGAAATAAACTAATTAATAAGAGGTAAACTAAGAAATCGTAAGCCTGCATATTACTCTTGAAATTCTATTCTGTGATTTGGCTTAGTTAAATGGCATAACATATATCCTATAGAATATCGGATATATTTCTCCTGCTATATTAGAGATATAACATAACATATCCTATGACATGGCGAACCAATGGCACGCGTGCCATTTATGGCACCCGACACAATATTTTGGGCACGCCACCGATCACATTTGTTATTACACTATGAAGCATATGTAACAATTAAATTAAAATTCACAAAAAACACGCAAAATAATAAACAATTATTAATAAAAAAAATTAACAATTAATGCTAAAAAAGCAATTAATAACCATAAAAAACAAGCTAACAATAAATAACTAACAAAAAAAAATAAACAGTCCTGCTTAAACTAACATCTTACAACCTAATATAAGTTATTTGTCATCTAATCTGCAACAACAGAAGTCATACTGATGTTACTTTAAGTTGAATTACGCGTATAACTGAGACATTGCAAAATATTTTTTTTTCTCAATGTAATTAAAGAGTTTTGAGTTGATAGTATTTAGTATTATTATTTTCCCAATAATCACGAAGGCAAAATTATTTGACGGCACGTCTATGACCTCATTAAACAATTTTTTGGAAAAAATAGCACGTTGGTGTATAAAGGTTCGCCACCCCTGTTATAGGACATACTATTTCCAATGTTCATATGTTATATGATATTCTTTATCGAGTATAAAATTTGCTGTAAACATTTTAGACGCTTATTGACAATGCCAGCCTATGATGAAGATTCAGACAGTTTAGCTACAAAAATTGCTACTGTTTATCCAGATAACAAAAAGGAATCGATTCCAACAATTCAAACTGTTATTCTGTTATACGATGCCTCTCATGGAACTTTAAAAGCAGTAAGTATTCCTCAAGTTAATTATTCCCTATCTTATAACAAATACAATACTAAGTAAAGCTTGTAAGACTGTAAAAATTTGCAGTAAGTATTCCTCAAGTAAATTATTCTCTATCTTATAACAAATACAATGCTAAATAAAGCTTGTAAGACTGTAAAAATTTGCAGTAAGCAGTAAGTATTCCACAAGTAAATTATTCCCTATCTTATAACAAATACAATACTAAGTAAAGCTTGTAAGACTGTAAAAATTTGCAGTAAGCAGTAAGTATTCCTCAAGTAAATTATTATCTATCTTATAACAAATAAAATACTAAGTAAAGCTTCTAAAACTAAAAATTTCAAAATATCTAATATGCATACATTTTGTTCTTAGGGGTCTCCTTCAGGCAGATAATAGGATTTATTTTTTCCATATTAAACAATGGACAGTTATAAATCCAAAATTTTCTTATTTATTAAGTAATGAATGGAAATTTTTGTTTCATTTTATTCATTGAAATATTTTCTACTGAGCTTAGTAATCGAATTTTAAATTTTATGTTCTGAATATTTTTTAAACTTGAACTTTTAGACTGCGAAAAAGATTAAAAATACGTACAACCTAAAAATTTAGAATTCCTTAGATAAGATCAATAGAACAAATTTTAATGATTAAAATGAAACAAAAATTATTTTTCTTACATGATGGAAAAATGAACGCTTAATCACACGTAAATCAGTGTTCATTACTTTCTGTCATGGGGTATTTATTAATAATTATAACCGGCGTTAAGCAGCTGACCCAATTCTCAATTTACAACAATCAAGGTTCAACTCAGTTGCCTTGTAATTTTGAACCCGGTCCAGAAGATAAGGGAACTCTTGGATCTAGTATTGGGACGAACTACCCTTCGTCTAGGACTTTTAATGAAACAAACCCGCATTTGCATTACATGGTGTAAAAAAAAAAGAAAACCTCCTACTTTTATTCAGACGACAGGAGAATTTTACCCCATGAATCATCTACCACTGAGGAGATTCTTATATCAGCACTGTGATTCCAGCGTATCGTCCAGCCAACGCTGCGATTTGAACCTAGGGTACCTCATTGAGAGGTGAACAATCTATCCTTTAAACCACCGAGACTCAGCTTTAAATGTTTGAAAAAAAAGGAAAATCTAATCACAAGCCTTGAGCGTTTAAAATTTCATCTCGAAATGCATGGGGAAATTTTTCCCAGGCCAGGAGTAGAGAATGCATCGTATTAGAGAAAACTTTCAAATTGTTTTCTCTTAAACTATTTTAAGTAATGTAAAAAAGAAATTAATTAATTAATTGAGTAGTTTGTAAGAAAACTAAGTAACTAAGTAAAAAAATATTGTTCGAAAATAAATGGTTTGTTAAAAGAAGATCAGCATCTCCCTATTCCATCTTGCTCCTTTACAACGACAACAATGAATACCTTAACAGTGTTTCAAAGAAGCTTTATAGACAATTTAAGACATGCATTTATAGAAAATAAGGTAAATAAAATAAGACTAGCACATTTTCGAATTTATCACTGACCATTACTATACATCATATTCATATGACTCTTTTATTTCAGATACTGTATGCAGAAATAATAACAGATATGAGAACGGCTGCCGCTTCAATGGTTGCAACAAAAGTAACTCAGTTTTTCTTTCTTTAAATAGTTTGTTCAGTTTAAACAAAATTTTATTAGGGTTTGCTCTTTCTCTGTGTTTACGAATGATCCCAGATAAGGTCATAACATTGCAATAATCAGTGGAACTGATGAAATTTAATTTGAGTTCTGGTTCGTGACACAAAAATCATGAAAATTTTAATTTTTCAATTTTTGATGATAAAAATGTTTTTGTTTAAATTGGAAATGTTTTTCTGTAATTCTTTTTTAATTTTATGATAAAATCATCTTTAATCTATGAGAGATAATAAGACAATTGCAGAATTTGTAATATAACAAAATATTTTTGTTATTTCAATTTATTTTGCTTTTATTAAATTGAAACAGGATTTTTAAATTTTCATATATAAATCTAATCCTAAATTTAATAAAAAAAGATGGTCTGTGACCTTAAACTTAAAATGCCCGTAAATGTCATGCCCTTTTTTAATTTTCTTGAACTGATAATAGCTCAAAACTCCCCTGGAGACAATGTAGACGAGATTTTTGGTGTGTTGATTTTTCTTTCAAATCTTTTTTTTTTTTCATTTCAGCATCTGGCTCCAAAAAACGCCCAGCATATTAGTATTCTTGGAGCAGGATCTCAAGCTCGAAGCCATTATCAAGTTCTGAAGAACTTTGTGGACATTAAAAAGGTAATACTGATTTACCATCACGAGAAAAACTCTCGCAGGGATCTCAACTCGAAAACTACCAGTTTTTTCTCATTAAAAGCTACAGCTCCCACAGTTCCCATGATGTTAGGTTAAAAGTACGAAAAATGAAGCAATAGTTGTAAATTAACTTTTTTATTTGATGCAGAATAACTTTTTCTTAAAAAAAAATAAGTGAGTTGAAAATTTAAACGTTGTTATTTCTGTCAAGCCTGTAACCTTTGTTTTGTTCTTATTTAATTACAGGTTTCAGTGTGGAATGTGAATAAGGAGAGCGGAGAAAAATTGGCTGAAGAAATCAGAGCAAGTGGAATACAGTGCGAATATTATTCGAGTGTTGAGTATGCAGTAAAAGATGCCGACATTATTAATGTTGTGACAATGGCAACACAGCCCATCCTGATGAAGAAATGGATCAAGGAAGGAGCTCATATAAATGGTAACAATGAGTGCGTTTTTGCTTTGGAAGCGTAGGAAGTTCTCTACAACAATTTAAACTTAAGTGTTTGTTAAGTCTTTCAGTCACAGATAAGGTCGAGAAAGCCTCCTTGATTTCAGTTTAGATATTTGAAATTAACTAAATAATTCCTTTTCTAGTATTAAATTGTGTCTCCAAAATTAATTTTTTAAAGGTTTTCTTTTTATTATTATTTTCTAAAATTACATTTTTTGATTTTTATGAGAAGACTTAATATTACTTAAAAGTATAAAATAGTCTACTTTGAAATTTTTTAATGACATTTCATTTTACTTCATTTCCGGTGTTAAACAATTGATGGCTTTTATTTTTTTTACTATAAATACCAGTATCAGAAGAATCTCAGAGACAGGAATACTTTTTGCGTAAAAATAATCTACCTTTGCATTGCATGAAGGGAAAACCCCAAAACATCCGATGGTCAGTTAGGCTGCAATGAAATCCTATAACCTGTCTACCAATGTGCAAATCTTACACCAACACTATTGTCAATGCAGTTGGACAAATTCATGGATCAGTTCAACATACGATGGAATAAATATATAATTTAATGGAATAAGATCAGGAATTTATGTCCAAGGGCTCGGATATATAACTGACAACGCTTTCTTGTTAAACTTAGAGATTGCATGTTAATTATGTAATCAGAAAATACGTCATAAAAATAATTAAACCAGTCATTACAGGATTTTGATGGAGAACATCAAATGAAAAAATTATCTCAAAACCACTACACGACTGAGATATTCGTGCCATAAATTTGCATCTACCTCATAGAATTACTATTAACTGAAAAAGTTCGATTATATGACTGATTATTTTAAGGTCCTTAAGTGATCCATTCCCCCTTCAGTAGTAAAGTATATGTTTTTCATTAAGCGCAGGGCCGTTTTATCCATTAAGCACTGTAGGCAACTGCGTAGGGGCCCCGCCACGTTCAGGGGCCCTGTGCTACAGAGAAAAAAATTGAAATATTTCTTAAACAGTAAAAATTTAATTCGAAATTTCAATGACGATTGTCTTGCTCTATACATTAAATCGACGCTATTTTAGTACATTTCTGAACGCATTCCAAATTAGATATTAATATTATGGTAGTTAGTTCATACATAACGCAGTAATATAATCGCAAGCAATTTTATCGCGGTAATTTTAACGCCGACTAATCAGATGACTATATAGCAAGAGCAGCTTTTTTAACACAACACGCTTGAAAAACGCGAAAATTCTACATTGTGAATGCACACTTACTGTTCTGGTACCTACCATAGGTATGTATATTCTATGGCCAAGCTACCAAAGAGTATGTAAAAATAAGGTTGGCAGTACTAGTTCTTTCGTCGCATGACTGGGAAATTCCCCGATCCGCTAAATACATACGTTGTATTGTGTCATAGACAACATTTTTGAAACATTTTTAATGTAATCGTTGAATTTTCACTTCAGGATGTCTTGAACGATTTTGTAACAAAAAAAGTTAGAAGAGTTAATATTTAAGCTTATTGTATGATTTTTTTTAAATGCATATATTAATTACTTATATTCTTTTCGTTTGATTCAATATTTTTATTGAGTAATGTGATAATATACCTATGTAGTAAAAAACAACGTAATTATGAATAAAGTGTTGTGTTAGCGAAAAAATATATTAGGAAGTTAGAAGACGGTAGGGGGGGGGGCGAGACGAGCATTGCCTAGGGGCCGCGACATGCATAAGCCGGTCCTGATTAAGCGTCTCAAAAATGTTGAACGATTTGAAAATTAAGTAAAGGAAAATGGAAGAATTTAGAAATGTATTGCTTGCTGTCAGAATGTATGTATGGTTCGTATGGTGGAAATGTATGCATAGTTTGATTGTGGAAATGCATGGTTTGCTGAGAACCACTTCATTTATTCTCTTCAAGCTAAAAAATACTTACAAAATTTGGCAATAGATGGCGTTTCTAAGGGAGAAAACTAATAATGTTTCCCAAATGATCACTATTTGAAACAGCGTTTTGCAAGTATTTTAATTGCAATGGTCTGATACGAAGCTGCAATCCGGTTGTCTTACGGAAGGTTACTTTTTTTACTAGGTTCTCATTGCCATATTTATCGATATAGCCATAAAGATGTAAAAATTATTTTAATTTTCTTACACTTAGCTGCGCCATCTGTTGACAAACATAGTTAAAAAATGATATTTATGGAACATTTTTTAAGCAAACTGCAGCTAAATTTCTATCTTCTTCCATTTTCCTTTAATCGATTTTTCAATTCTTAGGAGTAAATTTTTGGGACACTCCGTGAAATGGCTATCAACAAAATTATACTTTAATTTGTGATCGAAATTTAGATTAACCATTTTTTTTTAAAAAAAATTAGCCGTGGGTGCACCGTTTCCGGATTGGCAAGAACTTGAAGAAGATCTGATGCATTCATCTGTTGTGTATGTTGACAGCTATGAAGGGGCGAAGAAAGAATCTGGAGACATAATCAAATCCGGGGTAACAATTTGCGAAATTATTTGATTTTATAAGGTATTTGCTATATAAATTTAATTCGGGAAATGATAGATATACAATAAAATTAAATAAAATTTTTTACTTATGTTTTGGTCAGAAATTTTATTATAAGCTACTAACAATTCAATATTGATTACTCGGCAATTCATTTTTTTAAAAAAAATTAGGTATTTTTTACTAATATAAATTACCTTAAATTATTTTATAATAGTTTACTACTGTAGTTTACTATCTATCCATTTATTTCAGTTTCGAATTGCACAAATCTACAATTGTCCTACACTATCCATATCTATCAATTCCGTTTCATTAATCTCAGTTTATTGCTATAACTATAAAGAAGTGGGCATTTTGATTAATTTTCTTTAGTTCTTTTCAGAGATGCAAAACAGTATAAGTAAATACCTGTTATCAAAAGTGTTAATAACCAAAGAAATGAGAGATGTAAATTTAAAAGTTTAACTTGAATAATACTACTTAAAAATTAACTTAAAAAATACTACTTTTCGCAGATTAAAAATAAATAAGTAAAGGAATAAATATTTTTTTAGTACATTTCCAGAGAGTAAAATTTTTAAAATCTGTTGGAAAACATTTTTGTAAATCAGTGTGCTGCAAGTATTCAGTGGCTACATAACAGCCTGGTTAAACAGGTTTTTGATGACTTTAAACCAATTCTTTCTTGTTATCGGCTACGATATTAATTGAGATGAATCTGATGCCATCTTTGTTTCTGTTTTTTTCTTTTTTTACTGAAATATCAATTTTTGAGCCCTAATGTCAGACTAACAGAGATTAAATTATTGTTTTAAGTGTGTTTGTTATGGATTATCCTGCATAAAGCGAGTGCGTGCTAGTTTTAATAATTGAACGTATCGTATATTTTAATTACAAAATTGGTAATTTCTTCCATAGGCAGAAATTTATGCAGAAATTGGAGAAGTGGTTTCAGGCACTAAAAAAGCATACCCAGAGAAAACAACGATATTCAAATCTTTAGGTAAAAGTACTGTTTGATTTACATTTTTATTATATAAGTTAATGCCGATACATTAATGCCGATTTCGTATTCTATTTTTAGGTATGGCAGTTGAAGATGTTGTAGCAGCTGAATTCGTTTATAAAATCTACTCTCAACTTCAAACAATATTTTGAAACACTCTGCCTTTCGTTTCCTTCAAAATGAATGTCTTATGGTGTAATTCAAATTGATTCAACTAATGCAATAAAAATTCCATCGCAAGGAAAAACTATGACTATTGATTCAGTCAATTCACTGCGAATTCTATCAGAAGACGAAAAGCTATGACTACTGATTCTGTCAATCCAATGCAAATTCTGTCAGAAGACAAAAGGCTATGACTACTGATTCAATCAATTCAATGCAAAATCTATCACAAGGCAAAAAACAAAAACAGCTATGACTACTGATTCAATCAGTCTAATGAAAATTCGATCACAAGCCAAAATTTATGGCTTGATTCGATCAATCCAATGAAAATCCAATCATATGTAAAATAAAATATGACTGTTTTGTTTAATACTTTTTATAATTAAGAAACCGGTTAGTGAAATTCACCATGTATTACAAACAGAGTAAATTTTAAAAATAAGAAAATAAAATTTTGCATGAATAAAAAATTGTATTTTTTATGCTTTGGTCATTCCTTTCATTTGTCTTCTTTTTCAAAGAAAAACAACATTTTAGTTATTTTATATGTTCTCAAAATGTTACCTACTGCCTAAAGCTTGAACTTCTGTGCTAAGAAATAACTGAATTTATAAATTCTGTATTTTTAACTACAAGTAAACTCTATGGGAATTGATCAACTAAACAAACCCATAACGCACTAGAGAAAATAACCCCAACTATTTGCAACTTTACTTTTACACACTTTTACGCAGCCCTCATTTATTCATTTACTTTTATTTTTAAAAGTTATCAACAGATGGCAGCACAGACCACATGGAGGAAAATAACTTCCCATCAACGTTTAAAAACTGATGAAGTTATTCCCACGTCCTTATAAAGTGCTAAGATAAATGAAATACTAACTTTAAATAATGCTTAATGCTAGAAGCTACTAGAGAGAACTTCTCAAAGGATTAAAAATATTTACAAACCTTTGTTGTTTCCAATAACTCTTGAAATTTCGAATTGTAGAGTTCGAGTTTCTTTTCGAATTGTTCGTGCCTCTGAATAAGATAGTCAACTTCCTCAATCGAGCGACCATTTTCTTCATTCAAATTGTGTTCTTGCGTGCTCAACCAAGTTTCTAAACCAATCAGTTTTTTCTTAAATAGCTGTAATATAAAAACTATTATCAAACCGTTATATGAAAACTATAATTTAAGGAATTACTAAATAAAATAAAATATGGCATTAAAAGTTAAATTTTAAGCATTTATTATTATTTTTTTAATTTTAATTTATAGTGAATTGAATTTTAACTTTTGATTCAGTTTATGGTTTTATAGTTATTATCAGTAAAATATAATTTTCGCATAAAATTTTAAAATTTCATTTTATATTTACTTCAAATAAAGAAGAAAACGTAATATTCGAAAAAAGCACGAACTAAAATAGAAATGTGATATTGAAAGTTAAATTTTATACATTTTTTCATTTTATTTTACATTTACTTAATTGTGAATTGAGTTTTATCTTCTGATTCAGTTTATAATATACACCAATATGGTATGTTGGTTTACAGTAGTTAAATATAATCGTGACATTGAAATTTCAAAATATTATTATGGATTTTCTTCAAATAAAAAAGAGAACATTATATTTGAGAGAATTACTAAATAAAATAAAAGTTTTGTATTGAAAGTCCAGTTTTATTGATTTATTTATTTGTTTGTTTTCATTTAATTGGCAATTGAGTTTTATCTTCTGATCAGTTTAATGTTTATTTGGTACATTGTTTACAGTAGTAAAATATAATTATCACATAAAACTTTAAAATTTCATTTTGTATTTGCTTCAAATTAAAAAAAAAACATTATATTTGAAAAGTATGAACTAAAATAAAAATTTAATATTGAAAGTTAAATTTTAAAATTTTTTTATTTGTTTCTTTTTTTCATTAAATTGTGAATTATGTTTTATCTTCTAATTCAGTTTTTTTTTATATGGTATATTGTGTTAGATTAGTAAAACATAATTACCACGTTTCCATTTTACATTTACTGCAAATAAAAAAGAAAACATTATATTTGAAAGAATTACCGCACAAAATAAAAAAATTTGGTATTGAAGTAAAACTTACGAAATTTTTTCTTTTTTATTGAAGGAATTTAAAAGTGAACTGAAATTTTACTTCTGATTCAGTTTTTTTCCCACAAAGTAAACAGCATTTTTGTTTTTTAAAATAGGTTGATGTTTTTTAATGAAAGTGCTGAAAGGATTTTTTTTTTCTAAAAAAGTGCTTATACCTTACATTAAATTATTTAAAAAACTACACTTACTTGAAGATCAAGATTTTGTTCATAAAGTGACTTTCTTTTTTCCCAAGTTTCAAGAAGTTCTTTAAAGGAAGAACTGACTGTTTCTACCTTGGTTTCAACGTCATGAGATAAAAAGTGACCACTATCTATTATTTCTTTTCCTCGAGCTTCAAAAACATAAAATGATCTCATTTGAGTGTCAATTTCCGATTTATATCCCTCATGTTGAGCTAAAAGAGCTTCACAAGCTGATACCTCTTGAGGTAAGTCTTTGTTTGTCAATAAGGCTGACATCTCATAAACCCAGGCACTGCAAGATTAGATATTTTTATAATATTTACAGACATTTAAATTAAAATTACAGTACTTACAGGGTGACAGTTATTGAACTATATGAAATAAAATCGCCATAACTTTTGAACGGTTAGCGTGATGAAGTTCAAACATCAGGGTTGGCCTAAGGGCATTTTTATTTTATATTATATAACCGTCGTTGAACAGCCAACCCAATTTTTGGGTTTACGACTACTAATGCTCAACTCCGCAGCTTTGTAATTTTGAACCCAATCCGGAAGACAAGGGAACTCCTGGATCAAGTATTGGGAGAATTTTTGCCCTCATGTAGGACTTTTTTGATGCAACTAACCCGCATTTGAGTTAAATGGAGAGGAAGACCACGAGAACCTCCCATGGTTAGCCTGACGGCAAAGGGACTCTAACCCGTGATCCGTCTACCACTGAGGATATTTCACATCTGCACTGTGGTCGATGCAAGCTGGATGCGGATTCGTATCGACCAGTCATTCGAATCCGGTTCACCTGATTGGAAGACGAACGTTCTGAGAGAACGTTTCTGAGATCCCCTGAGTCATCGCAGCTATGCGAATGCGCACATAACTTGTTGTTGTCGGCCATTTGATGAGCTGGAAAAGTACTTTGACGACGGCATTCTGGCTTTGGGGAGCGCAGAGGACACTAAAATGGGACTCACATGGCCACCATATTCTTCGGATCTAAACAATACGTGACTCATTTTTTGTAGGGCTATATAAGACAATGTGTGCATGAATTAGCCCAAAACCATTGCTGAACTGAAAACTGCCATTCAGGAGGTGAGGTTTAGACACTTGAGCTAATCATTCAAAATTTTGCTATTCGTCTACGCCACATCATAACCAATGATGACAGGCATATCAAACATGTCATTACCTAAATCCAAATGTCTGTAGTGACATTTACGTGTTGAATAAAGTTTGTGGACTCTGTAGTTTTTAAATTATTTATGTTTTATTTTATGTAACTCAATAATTATCACCCTGTATATTACCGCTATTAAACTTATGAAATCAAGTTACAGGGATATTTAGCAATATTTAGATAAATAGAATAATTATATACGTGGATTATATATTGACATACATTACGCAAATTAAACAAACATATATTTTATATTATCAAAAATAATATTTATCATTACACTACAGGATTACGGTTTCTTTTTTCGTTAGGAAAACCAACTACATGAGGTGTTAAGTTTCAATTCGGTTCAGTCAAAAATTTTTGGTAATAAACATGTTTAGTTCGAAGTCCAAAAATGATTCTTTTTCAAATTCCTGGAATGATTTTGATCAAAAACGCCTCCTTCCAAAAAAAGATAGATTTGAGGAATACGATAGATATGTTCGTAGTCAAGAATTCGAAAAACTATCAATTGCTGCACATTGTTGGAACCTTCGGCATAAATTCAATTTCGACAATTTAGAAATTATTCCCAACCCCAGTCATATAAGCTCATCTTGATGTCATGGAATTCTGTTTTATTCATATTAATGCTGATTCCTTTGTTAACGATATTAGTTCCTCACCACCTCCCGTAGCGCGTGGAAATACACGTTGCGAGAGGTGGTGACTGTGGAACAAGAAAAAACCCCAGTGATCTCTAGGTCACTGTGGTTTTTCTTGTTCTGTTTTTCTTCTTTTTTCTTTCTAGTCCATTGTGGTTTTTCTAGTTTTGTTTTATACCCTTATTTTTCCATTTTTCGTTGTTAACTTTGCATTTTTTGTTTCAAATCACTTGTGTTGGCAAGTCTTAAAAACTGGCGCCTATTTTTGAAGACACTATAATAATCTCTCATTTTTATAAGAAATAAAAACAGATTATTTTTTTGAAGAACTTTAGGTAACAAAAGAATCTGTTTTTTAATTTATTTATTTTTATTTGAAAGAAACAAAACAAAAAAAAATACATTAAAGGCTGAGTTTTGCAAAGTTTCCAAATGGAATTCTTCCATAAAACACACAATGGTTCAAACCATTGAATTGAACCATTAAAATGTAGTTTGGTTCAATGGTTTAAATCATTGAATTGAACCATTAAAATGTAGTTTGTTGTAGTTTGTAAAAAAACACGATTATTATCTGAAATCGAATTTTTGAAGTATGACTTTTTTGAAATTCGATTTCTCAGATTTGCTATATCAAATTATATTCTTTAAAATAATGTAAAAAGTTGCATACCTTACAATTTAAACTTTTTTCGACTAATATTAAATAAAATAAAGACAAATGATAAATATTTATTAAAAGTTATTATTTTTTTTTATATGAAATTATCTTTGGATATATAAATTTCATAAATGTGTGCAAAAAAGTTTTACTTCGTTAAAAAGTTCTCGAACTATGGCGAAATGTGCAAAAAGTAAAATTAAGATTAAGGGGTCCAAACTTTTGACCGCTGGCCTGGCGAAACTGTTAGGACCATATTTCCCAGATTGCGACTACCCCCTATATTTTGGGGATCAAAAATCCTAATGCGTCGAAAAAATATATGTTTATTCAGAAAAAGTATGTTTTTGTGTCTGATTTCGTAATTTAAAATATCGTCTGCACAAATTAATTTGCATATTTGAAGTATACTTATTCTTTGAGGTATACTTACTGGAAATCTCTGGCCTCGTCAAAATAGGACTGAAGTTGCTCAGATTGTAAGAGTTTATCTTTTCTTCCTGTTGATTTTTCTTTGCATTTCATCCAAGAAATTTGTACAGTTTGATGCTTGTCCTCAATTTCACCTTTTGAATCAGGGAATTGTTTTTTCAATTCAGTTGCTTCTTCGTCAAGTGCTTGTATTTGTTCTTCAATTGCTTTTAGGTCACCCTAATGGAATATTTTTTAATTATGCTTAAACATTCAATGATGAATTTTGTATGTAAGTCAGGCATGCATTAAAATGTTGAATTTGTTTTTAAGCTTGGACTACAAATTATAAACTTATTTGAAGCTTTAGCAGGTAAAACTGTATTTAGTGTAAAAGTTTTAAAAATGCAGTTAATGATGCATGCATTAGTATAGTGGTTATTAATAAATCACTTAAAAAGCAGTATAAAAAAAATTTTAAAAATTACAAATTTGTAAGATTCCAGCCTGTTTTCTTACGTTTCACATTTCAATTGAGTTTTCAGTTGATACAAGTTTATTTGTAATCTTTGCTTGTGAGGATTTTAATTCAAACTTCGAAATAATTAAAAAAAATTAATGCATAAAATATAAAACACTTAGATTATAATTCAATTCAACAGTCAGTGAAGGTAGCTAAGTTTCACTAAAATAGTCTCATACATAAATAAAAAAAAATATCAGATTTTGTAGTTTGAACTGCTCCAGCTACTTTTAAAGTACTTTAAACTACCTTTAAAGCATTTTCGTTCGTTAAATAGTTATCTAGTATAATTAAGCTGTTTAGAATATATTAACATGGCTAAAGTTAGTTATAACTGAAAAATTCAATAAATAATTCATTTGAAGTATCATAAAGAAATATGTCTTACTTCAACTGTTTCATGATGTCTTGAAAGAGTTTTTATACTTTCTAAATCATGGCCATAATCTTGTGATGAAAGAGCGACATCTTTCTCGTTTATCCAGCTTTCTGTTTCATCCACACTTTTGTAAAATGTATGAACTAACTTTTCTCGTTCCAAAACCTAAAAATAAAAGCTATTTTAAAAGTATTGCATTCCTAGTGTTTTATCAGATAATTTAATAAAATTCAGGACGAAAAATAGTTGAGAAAAACTAGTAATTTCCTTTTGTTACCGATGTTGGACAATCGATTTAGATAACAAATGAGCTGCTTTTGATGTTTAACTATGTAGCTTAATTATAAGACGAAGAGACTCCTGGATCAAACGTTAGGACAAACTTATTATTGCAGTGAATATTTTAATTAATAAATTAAAATTTAATTTGTGTTTCGAGGAAAGAAAACCTTCGAAACACTTCAACGATTAGAACAATGGCAAATGACTTCAAACCACGATCATTTCACCGCTTGAGGTTTATTTCTGTCACCAATGTGATATGTGTAACGAATCAACCAGCAATAACCAGCATTCAATTCTAGCTCCCTTTAGTCGGAAGCCAGTACTCTATTCTTTAAACTATCTATGACCATGCTGCATTATCCATCCAGCCATCGATTGCTATCAAACCTAGTCTGCATTGGTGGAAAGTCAACGCTTTATTCCTTAAGCTACCTATGACCATGCTGCATCATCCAGACATTGATAGCTGTCAAGCCTAGACCGCATTAGTGGAAAGCCAGAGCTCTATTCTTATGACCATGCTACATCATTCAGTCATCGATGGCTATCAAATCTAGACGGCATTAGTTGGAAGCCAGCTCTCTATTTTTTAAGCTATCTACTACTATGCTACATCATCCAGCCATCGATGGCTATTAAACCTCGACCGCAATAGTGGGAGGCCAGAGCTCTATTCTTTAAGCTGTCTATGATCATGCTACATCATTCAGTCATCGATGGCTATCAAACCTAGACCGCATAGGTGGAAAGCCAGCTTTTTGTTCTTTGGGTTATCTGCGACCATGCTACATCAACCACTCATCGATAGCAATCAAACCTAGGCCACATTAGTGGGTATCCAGCGTACTGTCCTTTAAGCTATCTACGACCATGCTAAATCAACCACTCATCAATGACAATCAAGTCTTAGCAGCATTAATGGTCCCAACAGTTTGGTTAGGAGAGCGTTCCAAAGTTTGGACCCCCTAATGTTAATTTTAATTTTTGCGTATTTTTGTGAATTTTAACTCAAGAAATTTTTAAGCGTATTGAAATTTTTGGCACACAAAGATAAAATTTGTTTATCCAAAGATAATTCCAAGCAAAAAATAATTTTTAGTTAATATTTATTATTTTTTATTATTTTATTTAATAATTGTCGAAAAATTTGAATTGTAAAGTGCAAAATTTATTGCATTATTTTAAAGAATGTAATTTTACATTGTAAAATACAAAATTTGAGCAAAATCCGTTGAATACTTCCTTAGAAATAGAATTTCAAAAATTCAGCTATTTAAAAGGGGTCCAAACTTTGGAAACTTGTTTTTTACAACTTGTTTACAACTTGTCTTGTTGTCAAACAAACTTGTTTTTAATCTTCTGACCAAACTATTAGAACCATATTTCCCAGAATGCTGCTACCCCCTATATTTTGGGGATCAGAAATCCGAATCCATAAAAAAAAAGTACGTTTACTCAGAGGAAATAATTTTTTGTGTCGAATTTCGTGACTTCAAATATCATCTGCACTTAATTAGCATATTTCAGGTCATTCTCTCAAGAAAGTAATATTAAGTCCTAGAACGTGAAAATCCAATCATTTGATCAAAAGTAATTCTGGGTGATTCGTTTTTTTTTTGTTCACTGTATAGGAAAAGTTTGTAGAACAACACAAAGTGTAATTATGTTTCATACCCAAAATGGATTTATTCGAAGTAAATTAGTTAAATATTCCGAACACCCACACCAATACAAAGATAATTTTGGTTGTGAATTTTATCTAGAATTCATAGATAATAGAAATAATTTATGAACGAAAATTATTTACCTGTTGTCTATTATCTACTGCTTCTTTGCATTTCAGCCATGCTACATTAAGATCTTTTAAAATTTCATTGACACTTTCTAATTCCATATGTCCTTGTTCTATTAGATAATTTCCTTTTACCTCCAATTCTGCGACATTCATTTCATAACCTCGAAGTTTATTACTGAAGAGTTCGAACTTTTGCAGCAAAGTCTGTAAACAAGATTATTTACAAAATATATAAACAATTTATTTACATTAAATAATTGAGAGATATTATAAACAAAACGCATTACTTTTCTAATTTTTTGTTGCAGAATTGTGTCAGTCAGACATCTAAATGCTATTTTTAAATTTACAAAACAAAAAAAAAAACGCATCGATAAAATAGTCGAATACAATTTTCAAAAATACATGGATATAGAAAATTGATTTAATTCTATCGACCTTAATGCTATTTTTTAATTTTTTCAAGAAAATGTATTGATGGATTAGTTGAAGACAATTTAAAAAATGTATGGATATAGAAAATTGATTTAATTCGATTAAATCCATTAATATATTCCAATAAGTGTTATTTCTAATATATATATATATATATATATATAGCACTGGTGACTTAAGTGTATCAACTCCTGTATATCCTAGGAACAATGTCGTAAGAATAGTTTTAAACTTATTCAAAAATTCGAGTCTTTCCATGCCATGGCTGTCATTTTCTATTTAAAAAATTCTCCAGTATTTTCCAATCCTCTTGACACTTCTTTGGCATTGGCATTGTTGCAATGAGTCAAAGTAGTGCAAACTTATTGCTATGAACTGAGTTAAATAAATGCAGATAAATGCTGATTAGAATGAATTTGAACAAAAATAAATTGAGCGTTTCTGGTGAATTGAACTTTGAATTAGTTCCGTATACGGATGAAAAACACTTGATAATAATTGTTGTTGTTCCTAAATTCAAATTAGTATTAAAATAAATATCCGTATAGAAAACAATACTGTCCAGAAAAACAGAACAGGTTTTAACAGTAACGAGCATTTGATTTTTGAAAGACGAAAATCTTCATTGCGCTGAGATAAAAAAGTACGGTCAAAACTGCTAGAATATGGTAAAATTTAACGATTTTCTGGCTCTATGGGAGCACAAAAAAACCTGGTAAGTTTTATTG